TTAGAAGTACGCTGAGTACGGAGAGTAGTGAAGGGTGGTGGCTTGGAGACCAAGAATGGGGATGGCATTCCACGTATAAGGGGTGACTGAGGAAAAAAAGCATGGAGAGAAGGAGAAAGCGTGAAGAAGATGAATGAGGCTCCAAAGCTGGATTTGTAGGTGGAGAGGAAGGGTAGCAGGAGACAAGGTGAGAAACAAGACACTGGATGAAGGCCAATGGGCAGGAGAGGTGGTTTCAGGGCACTAAAGGGAAGGACAAAAAGTTTAAATTTGAGGTAGTGGTCAAAGGGGAGTCACTGAAGAGATTGAAAGGTGGGGTGACATCGTCTGATTACTACTACTTTTTTTGAGTGGAGGAGAGTATTTCAAATGGACTGGAGGGAAGTAATCCATATATGAGAGAGGCCAGAGAAGAAGTGGCTAAAGTAGTCTCTTGATTCACAGAGCTCTCTGATAATGCTGTTCAACCACTGGCCCAGTGCATCAGTGTCCTAGGGGCAAGCTACAATCTTTTGTCCATGACCATCACTGTAATGGACTCCAAACATCCACTGCCCACACACTGCCCTTGCAAGTTGCCTTAGTACACAGGCATGCAACAGAGAAGGAATCTAGAGCACAAATACTGCTAGACAAGCTCTTGATCTGATTGTGACCGAGAGAATTTTTTTCTATTTCATGGCTATGATGCAGGCTGAGAGGCATCATCATCATCTTAAGCTTTTCCTCCCCCATGTAATCTTTGTCAAGTTTAGAGTAGCAAAAATGTTCAGTGTGGTGAGCAGCCTTGTGATTGCCTCCAAATGGAAACAGAATGAACTCTCTCTTGTTATGAAGAATTTCCCATTACTTTAAAGATAAGATCAATCAGATAGGTATCAGTTTGTGGACTCAATATCAAAGCAAGAACCATCAAACATGCCCTCTACCTTGCTAAATTTCATCCAATCTAGCTGATGGAGGTTCAGGGTGTGCTGGCCCCTTAGCCACATGCAAGACAGAACACTGTCCCTTATAGCTACTAAAAGCCAATTTGGGGTGACACTAGGACCATTATTAATGGAAATTACTACTGCCTTCTTCCATGAAGGCAAGTTGCCTACCATTCTAAAGCAAGTGGTGGCTAGGCCTCTACAGAAGAAACCATCTCTTGATGGTGGCAGTCACACCAATCTTGAACCTTCCATTTTGGGGCAAGGCTATTGACAAACCAACTCCAGCTTCACCTAGATTTCTCTACTGTCCTGGAACCCTATCAATCTAGCTTTAGACCTGGGACCTCAGAGACTGCACTATTTCTTTGGTTATTATTATCTGTTAAATACTGACAGTGTACTGATTACCTCCATTTGATTAATAGAAAGAGGCCAGGTTCCTTACTAATTTTATTAGGTCTTACAGCTCTGGGTAAAAAAATAAAGCCCCACAGCAGCGAGTTTCAGAGCCTGGATCAACTGACTTGGGCTCATGGATCTCTGTCTATGGAGCTAAAAACAGCAGTGCAGAGATTCCCGCTTGGGCTGGAGCCCAGGCTCTGAAACCAGTGAGGGGGATGGGTCTCAGGGCCCAGGCTCCAGTGCAAGCAGAAACTTCTACACTATTTTAGCCCTGTAGCTCAAGCCCAAGTCAGGGTGGGGGGTTTTTTTTGTAGTGTAGACATATGCTGACACTGTTGATCATGAAGTGTCACCAACTCACCAGTGGGAACTGGCAGAGGTGGACTGGGACCATTTTATAATGACTCCACCCATTTCTTTGGGAAGGTCCTAGATGGCTGTGAGAGGCACTGTTAATTCTCCTCAAGGACTTTCATGTACAGGGTCCAACAGGAGACAGTCCTGTTGTCCCCTCCCATTTCGGGTAGGTCTACACAGCAGCAGGGAGACGTAATTCTCAGCAGGAGCAGATGTACATGCTTTAGCTCTGCTGCAGCTAGAGGCTGAAATGAACATTCTGGTTGTGGCAGCACAGGCAGCAGCTGGGCTAGCGAACCAAGTACAGTCCCACACGACCCTTGAGGACGTAGTCACGTGACTAGCTCATGCCACCCTCTGTGCTGCTGCAGCCAAACTGCTTTTTTAGGTGCTAACTCGAGCAGAGCTACCATGTGTACATCTACCTGGGTTGGGAATTACACCTCCCAGCTGCACTGCAGACATATCCTAAATGTGTATGTGAGTCTGCTAAGGGAAACTGAGACATGTCTTGGCCACACTGACACCAGCATGTTGATGATACTTAGCTCAGTTCCTCCTCATTATCATAGCCATGATCCTGCAGTCTTTCTGTGCTTTGCTGAGTTCGGGCCCTGGATGAAAGCCACACGGTTTAAACCCAATCCAGAAAAGATTAAGATGGTAATGCTGGGCACAGAAAAATACCTTGAAACACTGATGAGGATTCTAACTACTCCCTCCAGTAACGGTTACCACCATCCTTGTCCAAGCCATTTACAGTCTCAGGGTTTTATGTGATCCATTGCTGATTATCAAAGGCCAGAAGGGCCTTTTATCATCCAGGAATCTGTGACCTTACATCTCTGATGCACACCTCACTACAGCCTTCCATGCCTTTGTCATCTTCAGACTAGGATACATAATGTGCTCTTAGAAGAGGAGTTCTCAAACTGGTGGTCAGGACCCCTCAGGGGGTCATGAGGTTATTACATGGGAGGTCATGAGCTGTCAGCCTCCACCCCAAACCCCGCTTTGCCTCCAGCATTGATACTGGTGTTAAATATATTAAAAAGTGTTTTTAATTTATTGGGGGGGGTGTCGCACTCAGAGGCTTCCTGTGTGAAAGGGGTCACCAGTACAAAAGTTTGAGAACCACCGTCTTAGAACTACCCTGAAAGAACACTTGGAAGATTCACCTAGTGCAAAATGTGTCCTCCTGCTTCTCAAGTGGAGCAGGCCAATACAAACACATAACACAGTGCGCTACTAGCTCTTGGCCTGTTTCCAGGTGCAATTCAGGTGTTTGTTATCATCTCTAAAGCCATAAGTGGCCTGGGACAGACTCTCCTCATATGCTCTATCACAGCTGCTGCATTCCACCTGTATACTCTACTTACTGTAAGGCTAAACTCCAGGAGTGGGAAGCATGGCATTCTTAGGGGAGGGCCCTTAGCTGTAGAATTTCCTCCATCCAGAATCTATCCAAGATTGGGAATTATTAGGAAACCGTGCAAGATGAATCTGTTTATTTTACATATTCTTAGTTTGTATTTGTAACCAGAGAGCACTTGTCTCATGAATAAATACAGGCTGGGTGGGTTTCATCTATACCAATTCTGAATTACATACGGTTGTTTAATAGGCACCAGGTATGACAACAGGAACACTATCTATAAATACATACATACATACATAGTTTTTACGAAGTGCATTACAAACATTAACTAATTAATGCTCATAACCACATGAGATGAAACCAAAGCAAAGAGGTTAAGGGATCTGACCAAAGCCACAGGAGACAGTCAGTGTCACAGCCAGGATAAGTGCACAAAAAGTTCCTGGTCTCCAGGGCTGTGCTCAATTGACTAGACCATCCCTGTGTCTTTTTTGATAGGGCCTTTCAGTATGTAATAGAAACCTAAAAATAGTCTCTTCCTCAACTAACCCATCCCCTCAGCATAAATGAAATAAGGAATTTGCGGATAAACTTTCCAACACAAACATTCTCACTGTAAAAACTTTGTGGAGTTCATGCTTGGTGCTCTGGGGTAATTATTCATAAGAGTTTTGGGACAGCCTTTTATAAACAGCATGGAGCCTGAAATGGTTGAGATATGAGAATTTCTGCACATTGGCCTTTCTCAGGAAATCAATAACTATATTAAATATATATATTTGGATTCATCCCTCTTCAACCACCATATTACATTGTTCCTTATTTAAGCTCCCAGTAGGAGGACACAATTTGCTTCATTTCATCTGCTGAGTATCACTAAACTAACACACAAGAAGACTTATTAGTAGGAGGTTGTCCAGGAGGGAGTGAAGATAAGTCGTAAAGGCACTAACAGGATCAATGCAAACAGCATAGGCACATTAAAACATTCAATTCAAACAGTAATATCACATTCTGACCCACTTCAAAGGAAGACCTAATTCCTTTAATGGATTCATTACCCCACACCCACAGTCATTTTGCCTGTCACAATCCTTGCCAAATTGTTACCAAAGCAGCAAAGCCTTCACAGCTGACACAAACACAGCTCCCTCTTATCAAGAAAGATCCCCTGACTGTCTATTGAAGTCCCTGCACTGTTCATGTCTCCATGATTTAAACCTGATCCTGTTTCTAAAGCAACTTCCATTGCCATCAAGTAGGACAGCTGCCAATATTTACCTTGCGAGATCTGCTACAGGCAGGTAGCTTTGTTATGCCATTGTAAACAAACTCAGCCACACTACAGCCAAAGAGAAGAAAGCATGGCATACTCTAATATGAGGAACACCACTGGCCTGATTCAGCCTTTGGCTAACCCAATTCCGCTGGCATAAGTCAGGGTTAAAGCTTCCCCATCAGCAGAAAAACACCCACCACCTCTGCTGTGCCAAGGGGCCCTGAGCCAGGTACTGAAGCCCCCAGATGGGCTGTGTGTTCAAGGAGGCAGTGTGGCCATGCTACTTGGAAGATGTGTAGATTCAGCACAACCTCCATTGACTGACTCCTGAAGAGATTAAAGCTACTCTTCCCAGACACAACCCATGAAGGAGGGCAGTGGTGCAGATACTGCCTGCCCTTCCCGAGTGAGAGAATCCCAACTACAATGTGTCTCAAGGAATCACACCCCATCTCTGAGTTCTGGCTCAGAGACTGAGAGTCTGGTTGAGGATTATTAAACTGCAAGTGAAACCTGCCTGGAAAAGATCACAGACTGGATGCAGGAGATATTTAAGAGCACAGTTATATCTCACAACAAGAAGAAAAATGTATTTTTCCAAACAGGCAGACAAAAATAATTAATTGTGACTTTTTTTTTTTTTTAACAGATATTTACAGTAAATTCAGTGCTGATGAGAATGCTGGATTGACAGTGCTGCACACCAAAGCCCTCTTTTTATCCATAGACCAGGTACAACACACTTCCTCACCAATGTGCTTCATGCATGTCCTTCTGGGACCATCTCTATGGGATTGAGTCATTCAATCCCTAGCCTTCCTGCTGAGATGGCCAACAGAAGAACCAAAAGGAGGCTTAGATGAGATGTTTTTATATTACGGATAGGAACTGTTAATAAACATAATGATTCTAATGATTCCGACAATAGTCACAGTTATTAACAGTTACCTGAAGGAATAAAAAACGTATAGCCTTGTTTCAACTCAATTCTTTGGCATAGTTCCACCCTGTCTCCCAGAAAGATATCACTTTGCTTTCCCGACAGAACCCATTCTTCATAAAGTTCTAGATTCTGCAGAGTAGGCGGAATCAGCCAGAAGATCTAAAAATAAAACAAAAGTTTAACTCTTACAAACAAGCAATGAAAATAAAGAGCTAGCATTTTCAGCAAAGTTAAAGGGTGCCAATGATGTGAATACACATAAGCAAATGTATTTTCAACATAAAGTATAAATTTTCCATGTACTGTACACAGAGGTCCCTAGCAGATTATAGCAGTAACTGGTATACACAAAGGAAGCAGCAAGATTACTCACAATTGTCACACTGCTTCTACAAAACGTCATCTCTGTAAACTGGAGTCCACTAAGTGCTTAATATACCACACAACCTTGTAACAGAATATTACTTTCAGCCCAGTTAGATATGTAGATGAACAATATCTGGAGCACAGAGATGTTCTATTTGCTGCACTTACTTCAATACACATAGTACCTATCTCCACTGAAATCTCAGAAAAGACTAGTTATATCTAAACCAGTATACCTAGAAGAATGCGGCTATAGCTATCTGTGCTATATTGGTCCTGCTTTGAGCAGGGGGTTGGAGTAGATGACCTCCTGAGGTCCCTTCCAACCCTGAGAGTCTATGATTCTATGCTGCATATTCAAGTACTTCTGTTTTTGAATGAGTGGGTGTGCCTGTACATATGCATGCACATGCTTAAAGGATCCTGAAAACTAAGAAGAGGCACAGAGATTCTGGCAACCTAAGGAGATGTGATATGAACACATGGATGCAGCTGTGGTATATGGCCAGTTACATGCTACATGACACTTCCAGTACCCAGAAGCATAAAATAAGCTTTTTCATATCAAACTTTTCTGATATTTTGGTGCCCTGGAGTATTCAATGTACTTGTTTCACAGACTGAAGGGCTGTCTCCCCTGTTTAGCAAACTCCATGTTCATCAGCCAAGCCAAGCGATTTACAGTTTGATCACTTACAAGCAAAAGTAAAACAAACAAACAAAAAAAGAGCAGAACAGGCCTCACAAGAAATCCCCAAAAATAAAGATGTTATACTGTCAACTCTACTTACCTTCCCTCCTCGGAAAACGTGATACCACACTGAAGTGCCACCAAAATCAATGTGAAAATCAGTGAAGCATCCTTTCACACTCATCAAACAGTACCTGAAAAGCACATTGGGGTGGGGGGAATATAAAAATCAAGAGTTACAATAAGCAGTCTGAAAACAACATTGCTTATTTATTAATTTGCAGTGTAGCTGCATATGTAGAGATCTCAAGCCAATGAAGCTGTTATATCTCTACAGACACCTCATTTAGTCATATTAATAGGACAAAAACAGGACTCTAATTGGACTTCTGTTGGGAAAAATATGCCTATAATTCTGTATGTTATTCAGTTGTCTGGAGAGAAAGCTATCAGCTATAAAAGGCTTGGGAAATGTTAAACTTAAGTTGGTCAAAAATAATGACCACGCCATTCTCTATTCCAGGTGTGATCTCCTCCATTACTAAGAGCCATAACCTTCACCAAAAGTTGTGTGTTGATTGATTCAAAGAACAAAGTTTTGAAAAATCTCATCTGGATATAAATCCCATTGGACATCAATCACCTAACTACTACCACTGCAACTTTTGCGGGGGACAGTGAGATGGAAGCTTCATTTGGCAAATAAACTGTTTTCATTCCCATTTCCAAACATATCTGTGCAGAATAATTGAAGGTATCAGTCTGCAGTATTCCAAAGTACCAGATCACTGCATTTTGTGCCCTCTAGATCTATTTTTTTCAGAGCAGTTTAATGTCAACACTGCTGCAAAGATATACAACGGCTCTCAGCTCACTGCATGAATCTCGAGTCTCCAGCCACCATCTGTAACTAATGGCCGAATTACAGCCGCCCTTCTCACAACAGGCACCTTTTGCAAATGGAGAACACACACACCACTTAACCCACTAACCTCTTTTCCTTGTTCCAGTCGCCCTTTCATGGCTATTTTTTTTTTTTAAGTTGTGGAAACAGTATCAGAAAGTGATTAAAAAAAGGTTTCATTTAACTGTGTCTTTTTCTCATCACATTCAGGTAGAGAATCTCAGCTGTATGCAGACGGCGTGCAAAAGTCCCTCTAGATGATAGGCTAGAAAGGACCTTACCATGTGTCTGCAGAAGGCTAGCAAATCAGAGAGAGGTTGGATACATAAGAGCCTGCTGCCTAGCAACCCCATCCAGTGCTGGAGTTGACAGAATGATACGCAATGCTGTCATGAAGACAGTCAATTTGTGTGCTTCAAAAAAGTCCTGTGCCTTCGTCTCACAATTAAAACCTCTCCTTGTACAATAATAATGCTCTCCTCTTACCCACTCTGGAATTTCAGCAGCATTTTGAAGCAGAGATAGAGATTTTTCCACCCTTGGAGTATTTCAGATACTTCAAAAAATCACAGCTAGCCAAGAAGCTGTCTAGACTCCAAATATGCTCCGTTTCAAAATATGAGTCCTTCATTCCCAAATACATTTTTTTTAAATCTCTCGTTTTATTCTCCTCTTCCAGGATGCTGCTGACTACATGTCAGATGGAAATTAAAAACAAAAAAGAAGCTTATAAAGGAAGTTTCCTTTCTTTATACCAGCCTGCAGAAAGTCAGATGTAGAATAATTGCTAATAAAACAAAAATAACCTGGAATGTATCAATTCAAAGGAGGTCTTGACAAACATTGGAAGAACAAAATTTTTAAATCAAACACAAATTATTATAGACTCCATTATTTTCAGTCTCCACAAAATCAATTACAAACATACCAAATTAAAACAAATTGTCCAAGGCAATACTGCCCACCTAGGATTGCCTGTCGATAGTCAGATACTTTGTATTGTTGCAAATGGCCCTCTCTATACTTCCTGGGCTTTTATTTGTTTTTAAATAACCTTCAACCTACAACTTGAGGCTGTCTCTTTGTACTGAAGGTGGGGAAAAAAATTAATTAAATTTCCAGTTAAACCACAAAATGCTCAAAATGAGCTTTGTAACTGAGAACACACTGATGCAGAGATAGCTGGAAACATTCGACTTTTTTTCTTTTAATAGCATGTTGTCTTGAAACTCCTCTAAACAGAATAATTTCCATTCCCAAGAAAGGTTGATTCAGTGAAAGATCCACAAACGGTGGTTAATAAAACCTACAAAGCATTTGGAAAGATCAGTTTTTCTTTCCATCCACAACTGAAACCAATCACAAACAAGTTATTCCATCCTTAAATTTCTGTTGTTAATCTAACAGGGATGCTTCTGTCCAACACCAAACAGTTAATGAAAGCGTTAGGAGTCTGAAAAGCGATCTGCCGCCATACAGCAATCTCCCTTGTTGCCAGACTCTGGCACAATGCCTTTGCATTGACCTCTACAGCTTCCTCTTCCAATGTACACTGCAGTCACATGGTCTCCTCAGCCCAGCTCCATGCTACAGCTAATCTTACACAGACACCACTCTAACCTCAGCTGGCAGCTTCTCAACATTAACGGCTTCTAATTTGGATAGAGAGCTCAAGTTTTTAAGCTTTTCCACAACAAAATGTCCGCGATGAAAGGAAACTAGAAACAACACCTACTCTGCTTCCTTCAGTTACAGTTCTAGTCTCTGCCTTAAGCATTCTGGGCCGGAGCAGGTAACGTGAATGTAGGAACGCACTTTCAAGTAGGACATAGAGAATCTCGTCAGAGTTACACACACCCCCAATACAAGCACAAACAATTAATCAAGCTTTGTTTCTTCACAAGTGCTGCAATTTCCAGTCCCTGCAGACTCAACTTTATCTCACTACACACCCCTGGTTGGGTTTTTAAAATATGCAGCTGCTTGTAATCTAGGGTGTTGTTTTTTTTTAAAAGCCTCCCTTTCCCTGCTAGAGTTTATTTTGTGCTCTCTCTAGTATCCTGAAACTGTTCAACAGTTAGTTGATGCACAATTATATTTTTCTTTCTGAAAAGATCTGAGGAAATGTAGTACCCATTGAGACAACATACAGAGACCCACAAACTCACAAGCAAACAGAACAACAAATACAGAAACAGCACTGATGGAGAAAACCCCTTAGGCAAACACAGGAACAACATATAGACAGATTCAAAGCAAACACAGATACTATGTTCAGACACACAAATCCACATTCACAGCTTCAAGACCACCAGCAACACGAGACACTCACATGCAGAGATACAATGGAAGAAACAGACCAACACTGAGTTACAAACACACTTGAAAACAGAGAGATGCAGAGGCACATGCAGAGAAACTCAGGAGGCAGACTCACAAGCAAACACACACACATAAGTCCATTACCCTGAGCTCAGTTCCTTCCTTTTCTCTCGTTATAAGTACAGCACAGCACACGGCTCTATTCCCTCTGGCATTACAAGGACTCCCCTGCCACTAAGCTCAGCCCATAAACCACTCCCAAACCCCAGCAGATGCTTCTGTTTTTGTTCGGGCCAATGAGAAAAGTATAGCTCGCTCTTCCTTCCTCCCAGGAGCAAACCCCGGCTGGTTGAAATCCCTAAGCCTGAAACCGAATACCACAAAATCATGAGCCAACTACAAGTGCCAAACCAAAGCGCAGAAGCAGGCTACAGCTTTCTGTTTATTTGTTGGATTTTTTTTTTTAAAACAAGCAGTGGCTGGTGCTCTGTGTTCTGTGAGGCACAAGGTAGTCGTGAGGGGGAGATAAGAGAGGCAGTTGGTTTATTTGTTAATAGTACTGTCTTTCCTAAACGAGGTAGCTCACACACACAGTCCATTAACAATTCCACTGATACTTCCCAGGGAGCTGACTCTTGCGGCCAAAGCTCATGGTGGATCCTAAACACACAGCTCCTGACATCTCCCCTTGTTACTGTAGCCTTTACTTAGTGCAT